GATTGAACTCAGTGCTCACACATGCTAGGTGAGTGCTCTACTGCTGAGCCACAACCCCAATCCCCCATTTCTTTATGTGGAATTGATCCCTAAGGAGATCCATGACTCAGGTTAAATAACCACTATAATCCTAATTCATGCCAGACTTCATTTTTTTCCTACCTACCTTTTCATTAGTGGCTGAAGATTTCCCATTGTCGGAACACTGCATTCCCTTATTTCAAAGACAAAATGGATTATTAGATATACCTTCAATTTATTAACTTTTTTTTTGGGGGGGGGATATCACATTAGACATGCTTGTTGATTATTATTGTATGTATCCTGATTTTAGAACAKGGATATATGAAAAAATGTGTAGTTTAGAACTGAGGAAAAAGTATAGCATCTCACTTCTGACAACTGTGCACAAGTAGGGATAAAAAGAGGAGACAATAAACAGCATAATTGTAGGCCTGAAGGAGACACGTTATTTCAGCTTTTTCCTTGCCACGGACCAGGAGCTTATTTTGGGCAGCTAATTATCTCCTGGACTGCTCCTAAGCTACCCCTTGTCCTTCCAACAGATGTCAAAACAGTTGGACATGTTTAAGACCAACCTGGAGGAATTTGCCAGCAAGCACAAGCAGGAGATAAGGAAGAATCCTGAGTTCCGGGTACAGTTCCAGGACATGTGTGCAACCATTGGAGTGGATCCTCTAGCCTGTAAGAAATTGTAGCGGTCCAGTGTCCTCATAGGGCTGCTAGGGACAGAAGCTTATCTACCCTCTAACCCCTTAGAAGGGCCTGTAAGAAAAGCCAGAGGATGTCATCTTTAGGGAGTACCTAGCAAGATGGCTAGTGCCTATTCTGCTGGGAAGATGGAAAGACTAGAGTGAAGAACAAGTAGCCAGGGCCCATGATTCTCCCTTGAATAATCTGTAGTGGGGGTGTTTTTGTTGTTTTAATGGCATTTCCCCCTATTTTTTAAAAAAAAAAAAACAAAAAAAAAACTATTTTTGGGACTGGAGTTGTGGCTCAGTAGTAGAGCACTCACCTAGCAAGTATAAGGCCCTGGGTTCAATCCTCAGCACCGCATAAAAATAAATAAATAAATAAATAAATGGAATTGTGGCCAACTACAAATAAAAAAATAAATATTAAAAAAATACTGGGGCTGGGGATGTGGCTCAAGTGGTAGCACGCTTGCCTGGCATGCGTGCAGCCCGGGTTTGATCCTCAGTACCACATGCAAAAAAAAGATGTTGTGTCCGCTGAAAACTAAAAAATAAAAATTAAAAAAAAATACTATTAATGAAGGTACTTTGTGGTCATATAGTCAACAAAGAGCTATATAAAAAAGGAAGTGGAAGTCTCCTGACTATCCTATAATTTGGGGGGTAGGGGATATAGGAGATGAACCCAGAGTCTTAAGACTGATCCTGTCTTGTAATTGCAGAGGTAAATAACACTAATAATTAAACGACATAGATGGTCCCCATTGTAGGATGGTTCACCTTGGTAGTGCTATAAAAGCAATTGGTATTCACCAGAAACCATACTATGAATTTAGCTTTTTCCTGGGTTAATGATATGTGAGTAAAATACTCTAGGATGCTGGGAAGCATGAGTTTGATCAGAAGGGTACATAACTGATACTCTACAGTGTAATGTGTTTCTAACCTATGACATTGCATTGGTTAGGTGTATTAAATGTATTTTATTATTTTTTTTAAAGAGAGAGAGAGAGAGAGAGAGAATTTTTTAATATTTATTTCTTAGTTTTCGGTGGACATAACATCTTTGTATGTGGTGCTGAGGATCGAACCCGGGCCGCACGCATGCCAGGCGAGCATGCTACCGCTTGAGCCACATCCCCAGCGCCTATTAAATGTATTTTAGTTTTTTCATATGGAAGATTGAATGCAGGGGTCCTTTACCATTGAGCTACATCTCCAGCCCTTTTTTGTTTTTTGTTTTGAGACAGGGACTCAACAAATTACTTAAAGCCTCACTAAGTTGCTGAGGTTGGCTCTTCCTTGAATTTAGGATTCTTCTACCCTGCTGGGATGACAGGTCTGCAACCCTGCTCTGGGCTTATTAAATATTATTATTATTATTTTAAAATGAGGATTGAACTCAGGGTTGTTTTATATCCCCAGCCCTTTTTAATTTTCATTTTGGGATAGTGTCTATCTAAGTTGCAGAGGCAGCCTCCCAAGTATCTATGATTGCGGGCATGCTTAACCTGCTTGACTTCAGTGGATTTTTCCAATGCCAAGTTTGCCTATTTTTTCTCTTAGCCTTGTCTAGATTATATCTCCTACTATATTTCACTGTATGCTTTGGAAAAGGAAAACCACTGAACTGTAACTTCGGCCCCAAAAAGGACTTTGACATTGCCCACCCTTTGGAACTGTCTGAGCCTGTTTTTTGAGCAGTTCTCAAGAGGCAGGTTGTCTGTCACAGAGGATCTTGAGTAGCAAGTAGAGCAGGACTTAAAGCTAGGCAACAAGATTACTCGAAAAATAGATGTTAAAGTCCACTGTTGGAAGAACAGATAGGATGAAGATTATTGAATAACTTAGCTTTTGTTTTTTTTCTCTCTTATAGCTGGAAAAGGATTTTGGTCTGAGATGCTGGGCGTGGGGGACTTCTATTATGAGTTGGGCGTCCAGATTATCGAAGTGTGCCTGGCTCTAAAGCATCGGAATGGAGGTGAGGGCAGTGGTGAAGTTCATGGATTGGGCATTGAACTTCTCTTGAGTAGAAACCCTCAAAAGATTATCTTTTCCATCCTGTAGTCTGCAAACCTGCA